CGGAGTGACACGAGTTGTGCATAGACAAAGATAGGGCTATAGAAGCAGACGGATCACTTAGGTCAATAACGGTGGATCTCGATATGTGAGCGCGAGCGTGATAGCTACACACAGTCGTGCAAGGTAGGAGAACATTTAGAAGGCAGCGTGACGTCTACGACGTCTTATTCAGTCTCATTGTGGATCACAACGGTGACACGGAGAACTGTGTAGCATATCGTCTTAGACATCATACTGTAGGAAAATAGCACATGGTTTTCTATGGAGGTTGAGCATTGCAGATTATGCACGTAGGGGTCGAGACATTACCCAGCAAGGGAAGGTACAGACATGATAGTCAGAGATGCAGTAGTAGGCACAGTCAGGGCGGATTATAAGGGAAACTGAGTGGTGAGATTGAGTCTTGGTAGGCAGTGAGACATCTGTGGTACGGCGTACATAACGATGAGTCACAGTTAGTACGCGTAGTGATCATAGTATAGGGATCGTGAGAGGGCTTGGGGGGAGAGGTCTAATGTGGGCGTTCGTCATAAAGTGCAATTGGACTACGGCGCGGAGATAGACTACATGCAACATTGTGTTGAGACTGGACTAGATCAGGACAGTCTCTGGTTTGAGTGGCTGTCGTATATGTGGAATGGTGGGCAGCAAGTCGTCTGGGCGATGGTATGATAGTCTATCATAGATCTGAGTGGAGATGCATGGACAACAGAGAGAGTATGACACAAGTACTGTGCGATATGGCAGTGGCATAGATTTAGTGTGTATATACGCTGTGTCGGGTGTGTCAGCTCAACGTCAACAAGGGGTGGCATGTGATAGGTTGGGAGATTCTGTGTGAGAAGGCACCAGACGAGTGTTTAAGGTTCACAGAGCTACGACGAGTGAGGTATGCCAATTACATATCGGAGACGATGCTTGGCGAGAGACAGGCGGCAACTATCAAGTTTGGTTTCTACGTAAAGATCTGATTCGGTGTATTGTGATGGGTGCGGCATTATATGGCACGGATTAACGGGCTAGCACAGGATTCTACACTGGAGTCGCAGAGTTCTAAGACTACAGCTTTATCAAGATCTATGAGTTAAGAGAGAGATACGGACCCCAATCAGGTATACTGAGGAGAAGGCACGTCATGGGTACTTGAGACATCATATAGTTGTAAACTGCATCAGAATGAGGGAGGATAATCGCGCTCACGATGAGTAGAGACGATAACAGCTGCTAAATCACCAGTAGATATGTGTCGACGACTTACGAGACATGTATGAACCTTGGCGGAAAGGTGGTATTCTTATGCGTCCACATATATCAGCCGCCTTACGACACACTCTATTGCACACTCGAAGCGAACATTTTTAAAATGTCTTTCTAACGTGAGCGATCGATCGACCCATAGCGCTATTGAGTTTATTTATACAGGACAGAGTATGACAAATTCCTGTGCCATATATCAGCATAAAACTTATCTAAGATGATCTTTACCTATCAGTGTCTCTCGTAGTAGTTACTTTACATGCACTTCAAGAGGCTATGATATAGTACCAAAACCGTATTCTCTAGCCTACTCGATAATCTTTTATCTGAGGACAACTGAAACATTATCAAGTTCCCTTATTCGTGGTCCAGTGCCTTGCGAGCAAACGTCGTGCTTGTGCTTTCGAGCTACAGAGTGTTCTTATCTCCTCTTGACACTCTTCTGTAGTTAAGCTGAATTAACGGGGAGACAGCGACGAGATGCGCGACGAGTGATTCAATGCGGCGCGTTAGGCTAGTCTCCACGAAGTCTTCATGAGCCGATACTCAATAGATATAGATGTGTGTCGAGGAGAGATCCTGAGACTCACATTCTATAAAGTTGAGACCACGCCTGAGTATCATAAAGGTATCATATCTCGTGCCACTCATCTATCTCACAGAGGCGGGTACATAGGCGGGAGAACTCTAGACATAGGGCAAACCACATTAGATCCTACCATAAGTTAGTAGAGATATGGTCACACCGATATTGTATAGTACACAACTACACAGATGATCTCTCACAGATCATGTCTCTCTTGTGCGCTCGATGCGCGCGGGCGCGAATTCAGCTAAAGACAATGCACTGTAGCCGTCTAAGTCTGCTTTGCGCTATCTCACGTAGCGACTAGGCACTCTTGCGATGACTAATTTATCGCCTAGTCTTATGTATTTAGCGTATGCTGTAGCGTCTCCTAGTCACATAAGGATAAGAACTTCGAGAGAGAATTTCTCTGGGATGACGATCACACTCAGATATCTCGTAGGATGCTATCTGCTCACAAGGCTCTAGAGCAAATCGCCGAGACGAGATCTACTAATGTCGTGCGTGAGACATACGAAGTGAGAGAGCAATACCTAAATATCCGAACGGCACAGATCAACATATCTCCAATCATATCACTCCTTTTCCAAACACTCAACTGTAGTCGTGGTCGACAGTTTAGCAAGCTTATCGAACATCATCCTGTTGACACATATGAGGGAGCTGATTTAGACATGACGAGCACGTAGTACATAGCGATGCATGAGTGAGAGACTCATAAACTAACTCACTTGCGTCTAGATGACGTAGTGGAGGTAGATTGAAGGATATATCCTGTATGACTGTCGAACAAACGTCAATGAGACACATATGATATGAGACCAACTTACAGACATCGTAGAAGGATTATAGTATCTTAGCAGTAAGGGTTGACTGACTTGATGGATGTAGTGGGAGTATGACTACTCGCTTCATGGTTGAGACTGTTATAGAACGTGACTCGCACACAAGTGCATTGATTACGTACGAGATATGGATAGAGAGTGGTCGCGTAGGCGCTAGGTTTTGTGATATTTGGCGCTTGAGTAACAGCGAATCTCTCCCTACAACTGACTGAGTCTGACGGTGGTGGTAGATACTAACATTCGACACGAAGAGCTAAGATAGGTACTAGGCGGCGAAAGAGTGAACGCCACTAATATTGGCACGGAGAGTACAGGTCATAATATTTAGACTAGGACTGAAAGTACAGTGCGGAGGCAGGAATATAGAGTGACAGACAATGTCATGAAGTCCACCTGCCAGAAGCAAGGAGCGCGCGGATGAGCGCACTGTTTAAGCGGTTAGATATTCAAGAGAGTAGTTAATCGCGGGAGGCTAGTCGCTGATCAAGAGGGCGAGTGTCTGCGCGTGATGCTGGTGGGTCTAGTTCAGGTGCAACTAGACATCATTTTGAACATCTGATAGAGCGATACAACAAAATATTGAGCTGGAGACTAATAAGAGAGGACTGAAACGTATTAAAGTAACAGGCAAGAACAGCACTGCGGATGGACTCACTAAGGACTTAGAGAGGAGTGGTCAATACTGGGACTGAACACGGATTTGTAAATGATGTGCGTGAGAGTGATAACACCATATACAGAATACTTAGAGTGTCTCAGAGTGTATTGGGCGAGACAATCGGCATATATGGTAGTGGAGAGGAGACTCTGAGCTAATTGTCTAGAGCAAATGTGAGCGGGTCACTTATCGATTTCGCAGGCAATGACCTTTGTGTACTATTCACAAAATCACAACTGCCAAAACAGAGGCGAGCAGATGGGAGCACAGGAAATAAGTTAACGCGCGCGGCAGCGCAACATCAAGTTGACTAGCTGTCAAATTAGCTAATGATGAAACCCGGATCTCCGGTTACGCCAGCGACAGCCAGTAGGCAGACAGGCATCAGCAGTAGGCTGGCACGCAGTACCGACGCTTCGCTGCTGCGTAACCACCAACGGTCGCACGTGGGCTAAGAATACTGCGAGGGTTGCCCGGTCCCTACGGTGACTCGAACTCGCCCTCAAGTTACAAAGCATACTTGCGATCCTTAAGGCCACGGGCCGGCAGCCACCAGTTGAGCCTAGTCCGTCGACTACATGCATTTGGCGGGCGTGTTGGCCTCAGTCAAGCCAGTCTGAGAAGACACCAAGGTGGTCACAAAGAAGCAATATCGAAGATGCAATGGGCAAGTTAGATGGGCGTTAGAAAGGTGTTAGTACCCTTGTTCCAGTTTCATGTACTAACCCAGACAAACAACGAGACAGATGTTGCACGTATGCTGCATCATCGTTGCTGTTTGTCTGTATATGTGCCTGTGGTGTTGTCGTACTTTTGACGGTTACTGCCAGTTGATATCCCAGTTCTAGTTGCGTTTGATGTAGATGCTGACAAAGTTGTTACCAGCTTTAGGAAACTGGTAATCGTTGATGGAGGAGACGAGGTGCACCGTCTTCGTGACATTACTGGGATCAAAGAGTAGCTCCATTCATCGTGGAATAGACTACAGTCTAAACACCATCATGTGTATGTCTGGAATGCCTGTTCCCCTCAAATGTATCGGAATTATATGCATGTGTGCACCTACTCAGATGTAATCGTGACTCTCATGCCTATGCTTCCCGGTTTTATTATTTCTGGCTTGCAATGGAGATGGAAGGTGTGAACGGAGTTGTGAGCAGTGTAGCTGAAGCCACCCATGGTCTCTGCAGTTGCAGGTGTCCTGTCGCTGTTCGAAGTCGCAATAACAAGTTAACCGGGAAACGGATACCACCAAACAGATATGGAGCAACAGTTTAACCGGTATCTATCTAGATTGCCTGCTAGATTAGAATCGCCGACGACGGCCTTTACACCTACACCTCAGGAAGAGACCATTTTCACTAATAAAAACAGACCATACCGGTACTTTTATGAGCAAAATCAGCATGTAACATTAGGCTTTTGGGACCGCGGCCATGTGGCATGGCGTCGCCATCGGTACAACTTTGTGGAATTAAGCGCCACTCAGTTTTACAAGTATTAGCAGCAATCAGTAGAAAGGCAGTATGCCTATCATTACGTACCAGGTAAAGATACTACCCAGAGAAAAACAAAGCAAACAAAAGCTGCCCATGGAAGTGAGTATGGGTTTAGATAACACAGTTATGTAAAACACCCAAACGAGTAGACTTACGTGGGCGCTTCAATGACTTCCAAGTCCTCGTCTTCTTTCGCTAAGTCTATGATTCGATTATCGAACATAAAAACAACACGGCCGAATGAGCTAAGGTGGGTAATCAATGCGATAGCGCAACGAACTTGACTTGGTAAGTGGTAAGCTCCGAGATTACACGGTCAAGTCTGTTTTTCGACTTATTAACCTCGGATACAAGACATTTTCGCTCGTTCTCGAGACGGCTAAGGAGTGAGGTAACACCCATCTCGGCCAAAACGCTGTGAACCAGTTCCATAATTCCGCAATCCTCAAAAGCAGCAGGCAGTCGTTGTTCGATAATGTGCTGCTTGAGCGAGGCGTCGGATACTGAAAGAGCAGTAGATGAAGAGAATTTCCTTACCGTCTTCCAACTCTGCCTTATATTTAAAGGCAATAAAAGACATAACAAATTCAAAAACTTGGTTGATGTCAAAAGACTTGTAGAACAACGCAGTCGCCTCGTGCATGAGATCACTTGATTCAGCGAGTTTCATTGCCTAGTAGAAGAAAGTAAGTGTTGAAGCATTAAGTATAGATAGATAAAGAAAACATAGTGGATACTAGCAAAAATAAGTTAAGGAGAAGTCCGTAAAACAAATTGTGTGCATAAATGGCTTCCGGGAAAATAAACAAAAAAACTGAAAAGACATATATATCCGCAGGAGGAACGTCACAAACTTATGCAGCTACCTTGAGCATGATGAGAAACGAAGTCCAAAAGTTAAAATAGGAGTGGGGCCAAAGTGGGGATATCTAACTAAAAGAAGAGCAAAATATGTCAAAACGCTACAAAAATCAAATGAACGAATAGAAACAGGTACCCAACAGCATGACCAACATAAGGCAGCAAATATGAAGGCAGTACACATAGACATATTAGCAACAATCCCGATAGCTAAATGTGGTTTCAGAAAGAAAAAAGGAAACGAGGCTTCATAGCTATTGTTCAATATGACCCTGCCACAACTAGACAAGAGGATGTATCATAGGAAGGTAACGGTAGTAAGCAGGAACCAAATACCGTCACGACGAGACTGAATGTTAACGCGGTGTGGCCGTTTGTGTACCTCCTCGACTCAATGAGCTATACTAGGTGGTGCCTCCAAGCCTCTTGAGAGCTACTCCTACAAGACTGGTCAATGGTTAGAGGTCAGACAAACTCAGTCTCCTGACAAACAAAGTTGGGGATCGAAAACGAGGGGGTGCTGATTCCTGTAAAATCGAATTGTTGCCATCAGCTTGCTGCATTGTGGGCAGACTTTTGGGCCAAAGACTTGAGCTTGGGACACTAATCGTTTAATAAGCTATGTTTGGGGACCACCCAGTATCACAAGCCACATACAACCATGATTAGTTCATCAAACTTCAATATTTTATACCGGCCATCGCACGGTTTTAAGGTCACTTTATCTGCTGCATAAAGCACGGCTGATAAGCGAATACATGCTATTGCTGCTGTCTCCCTTCTTTTCAAGCTGTTCCACTTTTCTTCCGACCCACACTACTAATCTTGCTTCTGTAATCCGCAGCCTAGTTGAGAACAGCTGCAATACCACTGGAGTTCTGCCATCTGCCGCATTATCAAACAGACGCCTTATAAGGCCACGCTGTCCCTTTTAACTGCGACATTCAACCTTCGCACCATAAAACGAATAAGTCACCAGTCTGCACTCGCGAGCATAATAAACACTCTGGGTACTGGCGTCTGTTGCGTATCCGAAAGCAAGATCAATGACTCTCAAGTGGTTATTAAACTAAATACAACTGGCTTGTCGGCAAACTGTTAGTTACACGCATCTGAAGACTGAAGCCGCGACCAATGACCAAGCTTATGTGGGCATTGTTCTCAGCTCCAAGACATCACTGGCTGATTGGACACCAGTGAACAGCCGTCTGTACGCAGCCCGTCTGATGACATTAGCTAAGATTGATTCACAAAGAAGCAATAGACGCCGTTTGTAGGTGGTTGCCACTTATGATTATCCAACTGCAGTCCTGATAGTACCAAGAACAACTTAACACTATATTGTAGCGCTACCAGTCTAATATCGTCGTTGTTGCATGATATATGAATGCGCCTATAGGTCGCCCGGGCTTTTTTCCTCAGCTAGATGGTAAGTATCGACTTAGCTCTAACCGAACGAACAGCAGCCAATGCCCGCAGAAAAAGTGCGCGAAGTACCTGCTGATTCTAAGCAACAGCGTCTCTAGGCACAGTGGACGCCGACTACACTGGATTGTCGCGCGTTCTTGAATACGCGCGTCGAATGTGATCATACGCAAGCAAACTGTCGTTTTTTCTTGAACGCTACTAAGAGGCGTACCGTGCCCTTACCTCGATTGGCAACTGAGATGGTATCTCAGTCCCCGGTCAAACAAGCCTATCAAGATGCTTTGAGTACCGAAACTTTCGCTTTCCCGCTCAAATGAAGCTGAGCTTTAGTCTCGGTTGCCATGTACGACGCAGGAGCCTCTGCTTGCGGCACTATCAATCGACAGCGCACCAATCAGTGGATTTCTAAGAGGTCGGTGAAGCTGTTGGAATCCAGAATAAAACTCCCAGCCGGTTCTGGGCACAATGTAACCAGGAGGGTGCGAACTAAAGCGGAGTCTGCATGCTGACAAGAAAGCATCGTGTACTAGTATCGATCAAGAACTGGAGGAAGCTGGAGTAGTATGCAATTATCACATGCTCTACCAACTGATAGGTACCCCCTGGCCCCAGGAAACCAGGTGTCAACAAGACAAGCTGAGATAGCGCGGATACGCTGATTCCCAATAAAAAGCGCCGGTTGGCTCGTTGGGCGGAGAACTTACGACTGCAGTCTGGTTGGCCGCCTGCTGCGGGAGCTCTTTCTGTCCAGATGGGGCAAGCCCAACCATGATCGGTAAGCTAAAGCTCCATCGGAGGCTAAGGTTCGAAACGCGATAAAAACCTTTAATAATCGTTTTAGAACTATTGATCCTGGCTGTCGCATTCGCGCTATTTATAGATAGTAGTGAAGTCTTTGGTAAAGCAGTGGCCCACCTGTTCGAACCAGTCAGGAAAGAATAGACCATTCCACTCAATTGGAATGAACCGATAATAGTCGTAATATAGAGAAAAAAATACATCAGCAGTACGCCAGTAAGCAGAACCGACGTTTCACTGTGGCGCAACAACCACTCGCCAGACCTGCGCTAAGGATACAGCAAGGGTCGCCCTGCCACTGCACAGGCTCAAAACCGCGCCATCAGATAACAAAGCAAGCTTGTCACCTTTAGGCTATGGGCCGGTAGTTACACCGAATGTGATAAACACATATGAATCAGCCTACCGCCAATAATCGCAAAAGTACTAGGTTCAATTTTTGTCCGCCGCCACACTGTGGAATGAAAATCCCGGAAGATGGAAGAGAATATATAGATTGATCACAATCTGTGTACAGACATTGTGCCACCGGGACCATGGCGGAACAGGGAAACAGGATTAGAGCAAAAGAAAAAAAATTTTGTCCAGCTTTTCCACTCGCAGTTCGGTTTCGAGACATGACTTCCAAGGTTTCCAACCAACTGCACTCAGCATCCTTGGGACCCCATCCAGGGAGTCGGAAGGAACCAACCGCAGCCTGCTGTTTTATCAGCTTCTTCATCCAGCTTCCTCAAGTTGTAGTCTGTCCACCATAACGTCTACTCAAACCCTGTCCAGCGACCGCGAACAAGGTACGACGCGGAAGACGCTGAATGAGCATACGCAGTACGTCCATCGCGACCAGAAGGGACCTTAACGTAGTACGATGGTTTGTGTGCCTCAGTGATCCACTGTGCTATGCTGGGTGGTACTCTTTTGCACAATCAGAGCCACTCATACCAGATTGGCCAATGGTTAGAGGCCTGACAAAATCAGTCTGTAAGGGCCCTGCAGGTTGGGAGTTGGAGTGAGGGTGGCTTCTTACTCCCACTGCCAAAACTGGCATGCGCAACACGTGGCCCAGCTATCGGAGCCTGATGTGTGAAATGACGGTGCTGAGCGATTCAGTTCCTTTTTCTGTGTCGTAAACAAGGCGTCTAACACGCTCATTGCTCATGCGGTGTTCCCATCAGATGTGAGCCAAACTGCGAAGGCACCGATGGTCGAACGAAACCAGCCTCTTCATGTCCGCCGATCATAGGGGCCGTTTCGCCATCGTACAGTAAGATGAAACGTACCGCTGCATTGTACACTCTACCCTTCAGGACGAGGGTGATGTCGCGCCGCCGCCACAGGTGGCGAAGGTTAGCAAAAGCACTTCAAGCTTTTGCTATACGGTTCGTAATCTGGTCTTCGATCCCAAGGGCGCTGATACAACTTCCCAGGTAGTTGAATTTCCGAACAATATCTAGCTGATCCCCACCAAGGGTCACCGCACGAGGCGATCCCTGCCAATCTTGGAGGAAGGCCTTGCATTTCGATGGTGCAAAGTAAAGCCTGAAGCGGCTGACAGCCAGTGCTAATCTGTCCAGCGCGGCTTGGCACGTCTGGGAGCTGTCACAGATGAGGGCAATATCGTCTGCATACTCTAAATCAAGAAGCCGTTCACCTGGGAGTAGCTCCACACCTTCCAAGTCATGTCCTAATAATGCAATCTCCATGTCTTCGTCAATAGCGGAGTTGAAGAGGAAAGGTGATAAAAGGCATCATTGTCTCACACCGCTGGAGAAATTGAAGGGTGGCTATAGCTTGCCGCAAGCCCTCACTCTGTCCGTGCTACGCGCGTATAATGCTCGGATAATATTTACATATTTCTCGGGCACAACTTTCCTGAGTAGACAATTCCAAAGGGCACATCGATCAACCAAATCGAAGGCACTTTTGATGTTGAGGAACACGACTAGGGTGGGCCACCAAGATGCGTGACGGTGCTCCAACAACTGACGCAAGGTGAAGATATGATGGATGCAGCCACGACCCCGACGAAACCCGGCTTGCTCCTCACGAATCTGGCTTTCACGAGCGCCAGTCAGTCTGTGAAGGATTATGGAAGCGAGTAATTCGGAGGCGATGGAGATCAGATTGATTCCTCTATGGTTGCCGCATTCCGAGCGCGAGCCGCCTTTGAAGATGGGAAAAATAACGGAGCGGTTCCAGTCGGTTGGGACAGTCTCCTGCTCCCACAGTTTCACTAGTAATTCATGTAAAGCATTAAAAAGAGTATAGCCACCGAATTTGGAGAGGGCTGGAGGAAGCTCATCTGGTCCCGCGGCTTTGTTCAACTTCAACAGTCCCATCTTACGTTCGACTTCTGAGCGAGAGGGTGGATCCAAGGGGACAGCCCACGGAGCAGGGCGATCACTGGCCGGCGAAGAACCGAACAATTCTAGCCGATTAAATTGCTTTTCAAAATGCCCCAAACGTTTTGACAAATTGTGGATGGGCTGTCCACTCGTGGGACATATAGTTTCACTAGCACCACTTCTCCTGCTGCCCGTTTCCCGTATCAGATGGAATAACTTATGATGGTTACCAAGGGCAGCGGCAACTTGCATCTGACGCACGATGAGATCAACAAAGATTCGCGGTCTCTCTTCAGGCTATCACGGAATCTTGCCCGGAGCTCTTTGCGAGTTGCGTTGTGTTCACTTCCATTCGGGATATGCCGGCGAGCCTCGATAAGTTCCAGAGACTGCGAAGAGACCCAATATCCATGTTGCTTATTAGACATACCACGTGAGGATTTGCCTGCTGCCAGTAAGGTCTGGTGAACATGTGACCAGTGACTATCAATTCTCTCCAGTGAGCGCTTACTGAACTCGCATGTTAGCGTACTTTGATAGGCATTCAGAACATTTGGCTTTGTCAGTTGGCTGGTGTCAATGCGCTCACAGCGTCGTCGTGGGCGTCCGCCAAAACGCATCCGCATGTCAGCACATACAAGTGCATGGTCCACACATGTGCTCCAAATCGAGCGACAGTTCTGGATGCAGCCCCTCTAGCGGTAACTGAGCAATGTGATCAATCTGCGTCCAAGGCTGGTGGGCGCCAAGTCAACCTGCGGCGGGTGCTGAGTCGGAAATTAGTACTCGCAAGAAATAAGCGGGCATCTTCACACAAATGAAGTAACCGCTCACCGTTATCATTACGGGAGCCTACACCGTGCTGACCGCTCAGATGCATTTCATCAGTGGACAACTTTCCAATTTGTGCGTTAAGATCCCCCGCCAGCACTACAGTGCCCGTGTTTCTTCTGTGGCGAATGAGCTGAGTCAGTTGGCGGTAGAAGTCGTTCTTTACCGTATCATCACAACAGTTTGTGGACGCGTAGGCAGCGATGATGAATAGACACCTGTTAGTTCCGCGCGACTTCGAAGCTTTGAACGAGCCAGCCAATCGGACCGCACACATCCGGCTACTGATTGGAATCCAATCAACCAGAGCAGCTTCAGCCCGGGGACGAAGGGCAATGCCAACACCAGCTTGGCCGGTGCTCGAAGCTGCATCGTCACCGGATAGGCGCAATGAGAAAATACTGCTTGCGTCACCTGAAGGGGATGGCAGAGTGAACACAGAGCTCGGGTCTTGCAGGCGGGTCTCCGATAAGCAGCAGATATCGATCGAGAGGGTCTCCAATGTTCGGGAAAGTGCTGCCTGCTGACCGATCTGTAGCAATGTGTATACATTGAGGCATGCCAATCTGAAGGAGGGTCGAGGGCCCCAAATGGAAGCCGACGAACTGGAATGGACCGCTTGGATGGACATAGGCTTGTCGACAGGAGAGGAGTGACGCTCCTTGTTAGCGTGAGTTGAAACTAGAGGATAAACGTCTAGCAAAGCATGTTGGGGGAGGGCCAGGAATCGGGGGGTTGAAAACTGGGGGGGGGGGATAAAAGTGAAGCTGGAACGGGACGGTAAGGGTGGAAAAGCGTAAGAGGAGAAATAAGAAGACGGGAAGACTTGAGCAGTAGCATCCAAACCCCTGTCTACCCTGCTCGATGCAGCAGATAGGGCGCCGTTGATTATCCACTGCGGTGGCCAGAGCATCAGAAATTTGTTTGGAGAGATTCATTGTATTGCGTGGGCAGGATACTGTCAGGTTGCCCAAGTCTAGACAGGAGAACGATTAGGGTTCTCAACCAAAGCCTTTGGTTCAAAAACCATACCGCAAGGCGGCGGGTTTGGCCTTGGGCTGCAAGGAGTCCGTTTTAAAGAATAAGATGCCACCCTCATTCCAACTCGAACCCGGAGGATTAGGAGGCTGAGTTTGTCTGGCCTCTAACCATTGACCAATCTGGTATGAGTGACTCTGAAGGTGCAAAAGCACCACCCATCATAGCTCAATGGATCACTGAGGCACACAAACCATCGCACCACGGTAACGTCCGGTCTCATTGCGATGGCGGTAGTCGCAGTTGCTGATAGAGGGCCGAACGCAAGGCGATCAGACGGGTGGCGTGAAAATACGCACGATAAGTGGCTGCTCGAACAACAACGAAGACGATATGAGAAAGTAAAGAGAAGAGGAAACGACGAACAGATTATAGCCTACGCTGGACGACAACTTACTTGTTGACTCGTTACTACAATACCAACGTGTAGTATGTGTGGTCGTGGGTCCCGAGGGCTTCCGGTTCCGGGGCGTACCTAAGTTGTATTAAACCGATGGGGCTGAAAGATAAAGGAGATACTTCGTAGGAGGCTGGAGAACCACTTATTAAGTGTCGGAGCTGGATGAACTGTGTGCTGACGTCACATCTGGTGGATAGCTGGTTGGTACTGTCACAGCTGCCCGTAGAGGACCGAGTGCGAGGCGGCTAGATGAATGGTGTGAAAGCCCATGATAGGTGGCTATTTCAAAAAGATAGAAAACGAAATGGATAGATAAGAGGAAACGACGCTCATAATACAGGCTACACTCGACGACAACTTACTTGCTAGAGACACTGACGCTCTACAGATGCTACAGCGATCAATGGGATTTTGATAGTGTAGCTATGGTACAGCAACCAGCCAGTAATGGACGATGCTAAAGCCGACGTAGAGGTGGCTTTTTAGTCAAATTATAAGGGCGTAGTAAGGATTTTCATAGCGCAGTGTTGGCGTGCCTGATCGCCAACCCGACAGCTTGAGGAGAGTGGCTAATTTTGTACGGAAAAGTAGCCTTAGTTCATAGTTGTAGAGAGCAGAAGAGAAAACCCGTGTCAGCTCCATCACCTCCCGTTCATTGGCTGGATGACACTTGTCGTTGCTAAACTGTTCCCCGAGGGATTGTTACAGCTGCAGCAAAAGCAGCGGAATCTAGGTATGCTCAGCATGTACTTGTCCAATCGTTCTTTAAAACATTCCTCTGTCTGGGCACATTCAAGGTGATTGTTCCACTCATTCACAATCCGTGTGGATAATGCGGCATCGGATCGGACATGGTTCCTCCGAGGTTTAAAATGTTTCAAGCTGTGGTCCCGTGTCAAACAATCTATGTTGAGCTGGAAGAACTGCTGCTCCTCCTTTCCCAAATCGCCCCTTAAAATGCGTCTAGTAAAAATCTGATCACCACGGCGACGGCGGTAGTCTACAGTAAATAAGTTCATACATTGGGGACGAAGATAAAACACGTAGCATAGACAGAGACTTGGATCCGCGCCTCTGAACCTTCTCAATCAAGTTCAGATTCAAGTTCGGTTGGGACTGGAACGATAGGAGAATCCGGTGAGTGTTCCATCTTGAGTGGATCGCTGGGCCAAGAATTGGCGAAGTGCTGTTATTGATGGATCCAAAAAGGAACACCCGTATCGCATCCTCGCCAAGCAGTTAATGCCCACGTTTTCTGCCCTAGCAGTCCCTGCTGTGGCAGTCAAGTGAAGTAAACAAAGGATAGGAAGAGAAATCGGAGGTACAGAATAAGAAAGTGCAGCTGAAATAAGAAAAGGATACCAATGCGTGAAGAAAAGTAGAGAAAAGAAAATCGAGGTATGAAGACGCAAGTTGGTCAGGAAAATGGAAGGGTTTCGTGTAGACACCCAAGAGCGTCAGATTGCTGCTCAAACCCCTTAACCGTAGATTCCCTGATAGCACTTTCTGGAAGTGTGTTCCAGCACTCGATGACTCCGGGTGACAGTCGGATTTCCCCGCTTATCCGATCGGACCGCGGTTTGTCCAGCTTTAACGAATGACCGCGTAGAACAGACAATCTAGTGAGACTGAATAGCCAAGATAAATCTGGACCAACCTTCCCAATTAAGATACGGTAGATTAGGATTAGATCTCTTCTAAGCCTTCGGTAGTGCATTGAATGCATTCCCAAACTAAGTAGACGCTCGGGGTACGTCCGCCCCCGTAATCCCTCAACTAACCTATTACCCACCCGTGAAACCCTCCCTAGCTCAATTTTGTCCCGGATGAAGCAGGGCGGATAAGCCTGGACGCAGTATTCCAGACGGTGGGCCGGTGGCCGAGTGGTCTGCACGTTTGCTTTGCAAACATAAGGTCACCGGTTCGAATCCGCGTAGGGGTGGGCGTCCTCGCGGTATACTCAGCCCGCGCGCGACTGGTGGTGGTCGCGCGGCAGCGAAGCGCCGTTCCGGCATACAGCTGACACATTATTATTATTTATTAGTATTCCAGATGAGGCCGAACGAAAGCCGAGAACAGTCAAGTAAAGATGTCGCCCGTCAAGACTCCAAAAGAACGTCGCATTAATCACAACATGCGGAAACCTCTGCTTGCGGCCTTCTTCCAGTTGTCTCCTGAGTGTAAAGACAAAGAGTATACGACGTCTAGACACGGGGGAGTTAGACCCCACCGACCAAGGACTTCGCAGGAGGACGACCACCTCCAATTTGAAGAACGGAGCACTTTGCCTGATTTATGGTCAATAACCATAAAGTAGACCAGTCCCAAAGCTTATCCAATGCTCGCTGAATAGCTGAGGAAACCCCAAGAACATCGACAATGTTCCACAGCTTCAGGTGACCAGTAAATCGCAGCGATGGTACCTCAAGCCCCGCGGGTAGGTCATTTACATAGACAGAGAACAGCAGTGGTCCAAGGACCGGGACCTGCGGCACGCCACCGAGGACAGACTGCCTAAACGATAGGACACGGCTTACCCGTACACACTGTCCTCTACTATCCAAGAAGGCAGTCACCCAATGAAGGGCGCGGCCAGATGCCCCGTAGGAGGTCAGGTTCAAATAAGGTACCTTGTCAAACGCCTTCGAAAAGTCGATGAAAAGCACGTCCAGTGCGTGGCCGTTATCCACTGCATCCGCCCAACTTTCGCGAGCCACCAGTAGATTCGTCAGACACGAAAATCCCTTCCGGAATCCGTGTTGTACATTGCTAAGTAGATTAAATCTACTCAGATGACTCTCCAATGAATCTCTCACCAGTTTCTCGAGAAGTTTGACTACTACACTCGTCAGACTAACTGGCCTGTAATTTGCAGGCAGACTCCTGTCCCCATTTTTGAAGATGGGACAGATGACAGCTTCCTTCCATTCGGAAGGTAATGCACAGCTGTCAAGCGATTTCTGAAACACCATAGTGAGCGGTCCACTTAGTTCCGCAGCCAACTCATGCAACAGTTTCGGGTGAATTAAATCAGGCCCAGAGGCCTTAGAAGGGTTCAGCCCTTGTAACAGCCTACGAACTTCCGTCTCCGCTACAATAAATTCAGATAGTCCTGAACCCTCTGGGATCCTGCAAACCAGCTCAACGCCTGTCAAAGAGGTTTCCCTTACAAACGCTGCTGCATATTGCCCACTAAGTACGCAGGCCTTGTCATAGTCCGTATGCGCATGAGTACCGTCATCACGCATCAATACTGGAATTGACATGTTCGAACCGCAGCGCCTTTTGACATAAGCGAAGAATCTTTTGGATTCTCTGAAGCTTCGTCTGCTAACCCTTTCTCGAAATTGAGCCGAGCATTCCTTAGGTGTTGCTTACACCTATTTCTAGCCTTACGGTACCTGTCATAAGTATCGGTGGACGGAGCATCTCGGTAAGTCCGCCAACATTTAGACCTCTTTGTGAGCAGATGCCTGCCAGTGGAATCTATCCAGGGCGGCTGTGCTCGTGCCTCCTTTCTCCTTGTGACTGGGATGAAGGGAGCAGAGACCTCTGTGAGGTAGGACTTAAATTTATCCCAGGCAACCTGGACAGTATCATCGCCTGAGATCTCACAATGGAAACCCGAAGCCTTGGCTCTCATTGATTGATAGTCTGCGTGCCATATGTTCGGGCGACTCAACAGTACTCTGGTAGCGTCTAGACAGAGTACAACTGAAGAGCAAACAAACATGATCACTGGAACCCAGTGGAGGTCCGTAAGTAATGTCACCAACAAAATCGAGTGACCTAGTAAATACAAGGTCTAAGATAGACAGTACTTGGGCGTCCATGTACCTAGTGGGGAGGCCAATGAACTGATGCAACGGTACTTGGAGCGTAAGCTCAAGTAGATCAGCGCCGAATGTGCCTGACGCTGAGTTGCAAGAAAGATCTGCCCAGCAAACCTCCGAGAGGTTGAAGTCGCCCATCACCAAACACTTGTTTGCGGACTGGGAGCGGATAAAGGCAAATGCCTCTTTGGATACGCTCCCAGGGCTTCTATACACAACTACAACTGTAACCTGAGTCGAGGATGTGCTAATCACAACCGACAGAGCTTTAACAGTTTTGTCCGCCGACTGAAATAAGCAAGTCCTCAAAACGTCAAGTTTAGAGCGCACATAAAGAGCGACGCCTCCTCCCTACCGGCCAGCGGAGCGATCGCATCTAAATAGTGCGTAGCCAGATAGATGTACTTCACCATCCGTGATGTCCTGAAACAGCCACATTTCAGTGAATCCGAGTATATCGGGATGACACCCATCTACGAGCAGACCTAACTCGTACACCTTATTCCTTAGGCTCCGCACATTACTTAGGACTATCTGAAGATAGTCGTTAGGTCCAGACCTGGGTCGTGCGCTACCAGAATGGGCAGTGGTAGGGCGGAAAAGTACCGCCGGCTGACCACCCGGAAACCCACTAACCGGAGATCTTGTTCACCGGCCGCTCACATGCTTTTGTGGTCCTTGATGGCCTCCCTTAGCTCCAGCTAATAGGCCAGCGGAAGATCCGGCCGAGCACTAATATTTGCATCTTTCAGTTTAAAAGCAAATCGAATGAGAGCGTTGTGTTCCTCCGAGGTAGAGAGTAGAACACGAAGTAACCGCGGTTGAGGGTTTGGTACACTAACTGGGACGTTCTTCAGTCTAATCAGCTTCCTGACAGTAAGGCCGGGAAAACCAGGCGGAAGAAGTTTCGTTACGCACATTTTAAACGATTGAAGGTCGTCCAACATACAATCAGCAGGAAGGACAACAGTGGATTCAGCCGCGTTAAGGAATATAACGCTACTATCCGTGAAAGAATCACCACGACGGGGTGTATTAACCCCACGGGTCTTTGATTCGACACTTGGAGCAGGTGGCTTCACCACTGGTGATGGGACTGTTTTTATCCCCTCAGATGATGTAGCAACGGCAGCATGTATTTCGCTCCATTGTCAATGCCTTACATTTTTCGAAACATCGATTCCCCCGAAAGACTTTATAGCAGATTTGGTCTGCTTTTTCTTCTTGATAACGGGAGCAGGGTCCCGTGACGCTTTGAGCAGAGTCAAACAAACCGTCAGCACGTGCATTCTCGGTGAGCCGAGATATCCAGCAGCTTCGATTGACAAGCAGTGCGTGTGGGAATCTTCGCCTTCGCAAAACCGTCAGACGGTTCGACAAGTAACGACAAATGGCTTGTTTCCGGTGCCGAGACAACTACAACTTTTTGTTTAGCAGAGAGCTTATGGGGTATCCTGGCTCTCTCGCTTTACTCGAAAGGACCCTTGAACTATCAGCATCGGCATCGGTCAGGGTAACTTTAGATACGACGTCCGAAGTAGCTTCATTTTCGTGGTCGGCAGCCATTTGGACGGGTGACATAATGATTGGTGCCACAAGTTGATCTCCAGTGTAAGCGATCAAGTCTGGGTTGTT